CTAAAGAACGAGTGATACTATATCAGAGTGGTGTTTACCTCCGAACAAACTTCCACTGATTTTGCGCATCGATTCGTCATATCAAATCAATTCCGATTCGATTTAATCATCAAAAAATTCAAACAAATAAATAGTGTTTGATTAATTGATTTATTCAATAATGTCTGCTGCAGAAATATTCAATACGTTATTGAAAAAGCATTCGTCATTCAACTACACACCAATGGCACCACCAAACGTAAACGATTGGATTGCAGGTGGACTTATTTGCCGCAATATAAAATCATAAAATTCAGTTGGTCAATAATACCAATCTTGCGATAATAGTAACCGATAAATAGTTATGACAATGACAGCAATAAGAATAATCAGTGAATACTGAAGCAGTTACTGATAGCAAATGATTAAAATCGGATTATTGCAGATATGACCGCGCCTTACGTAGCTCTCTTATCGATGAGCACTGCATTCACAGTTATCGTTCTTTTTTTATCCATACTGCACCTGTATTTCGTATTCAGATATGTCAGTAACGAACGAGTTCAAATAGACCTCTATTGGATTGTGTTAATGTGCCCTGTAGGTTTTCTTTATCATTTATTATAATAATAATATTGTTAACATTATTATTGCCATTTCTACTTTTCTCATTTTCATTCGTTTCTCCTTCATTATTGACTGAACCTCATTCTCATCTTTGTTATTTCATTTTTCGTTGTCATAATTTTCACCATTAGTAAAATTCCTGTCATTAGCGGTACTCTTATTATGGTTATTTCTATGATTGTTATTATTGTGTTATTAGTAGCAATAACCCAAAACGACAAACTGGCGTGTTTCCTTTTGCTTTCAGGTAGCCACACTGTGCGGACTGATTGGCATGTTTATTCCACGTTCTGCAAGTTTCTTGTATTCTGTTGCTCTAGTGTAAGTTATTGCGCTCTTTGATCACTTTCACATAACAGATACGACAAATGCGATTTACTCATTCAATAGATGTGTAAATATTGTAAATCATGAACAAATTTTGAAGGTATTTCATGCTCTGTCTGTTTGTAATCGTCACACTAATGAAGAATATGTTCGGCAGTCGCGCAGCACTTTCACAGTATCTTCTATCGAACGGTCAAAAAATTTCCTTCCAAGTTCCGCCACTCTGTTGCTTTTGCCAATGCCTGCCAACCTTTGAAGCGAACAAGTAATTCATTGTCATCGTATCAATAATCAATGTTCAATCTCTAATATTTCCATATTATAGTCCTGCTAAATTTTTATATCATAATAGCGGTCATTGTAAATAATATAATTGACTAATACCATTTTTTGATTATTCTTTATTTCATCCAATCNTCATGACATTACCGTTGGCATCGTCGTCATTATTGTGTCAGTTTCAGAAGGAATTTACGTATTCTTGAATGGATCGTTTTTCAGTCGCCTTGCGTTCGTATCGTACTCGAAATTACGAACATCGTCGTATATCTCGAATTCAATAACCGAATACATCTGTATGTGTTCGCATCATTTCTTACCAGTTGCTCATCATCTGATCGTTTTCCCCTTCAATTACATTGCATCGTTATTATGCCTGTCAATTCATTATCATTCTGTTATTTTCTGTACCATAATTTGTTATCAACGATATGATCAACGTTATTGTTAGCCCTCTTAACACTATCCTTTCTGGCATCAGTAACATCATTGTTTGCTGGAATTTTCATAAACATTGCTATTACCACTTTCTTCTTATTTTTCAGATGGTTTCAAATTTCGAATGTGCTTGGCTTGATCTCGATGATAATGGCCTTTTATGCATGTTACGTGATTATACCACTAGGACATGTTAGTACTTGCCGTTCATTATACTTCTTATTATTCGCATTTTTTACGTCACCGCTATTGGTCTTTTCCTTATGAAGTAATCACACTATTGAACAACAAATAGCAGTACCCAGGAGAGTTTTCGACGTATCTCCTAAGAATGGAATTCACTTTTCATTTTTGAGCACTGTTTACCAATTAATCCACACGAAACTCGCCCTCCAGTACGAACATATAAATTTTTAAATCGATACTTTGCAAAAATTGTTACTCGGTGAGGAAAAACGAAACGACACTCTGCCAACTTGCTCACAATGTCAGAGAGAGAGCGTTTCAATTTTGCATTGCAACTGGCCATACAGTAACACTGTACCTTGTCACAGTTAAGCATCTTTTTGGATGGGACCTCATTATCGTTGCAGTATAATTACTGCAAATAGTAAAAGTCCACGCGGAACACGCGACCACCGAGCTTCAGAAGCAGCATTTTAGTATTGTTCAAAGGACTGACTGCTTTAGTAACTGTGTTTGTTATCTAGACTATATATTTTATAAACCCAAACTAATATACTTTGTATCTGGACTAATATATTTCATAAATCTCCTAAGGAATGTCCATTCAAACAAAAAGTAATGAGCCACTCATTATAGCCCTGACATGAGGGGTGTGAGAAGATGTGAGATGAGGTTTTTTTAGAAAAAATTTCACAAAACTAAACAAGAGCATTTGCAGCAAAAACTTGAAATCTATCGTTTTTCTGTGATCTTTCGTCTTGTTGATACAGCTCAAGCGATTTATTCAATTCAAAAATTTATCTTCGATCTTGCTGCAGCGGTCGGGATTTTCACTGATGGTACCCTTCTACCGGCCTCATCAAAAGCACAATGTATATTTATTGAGTCAGCTGTTACCTCTTCCATATCAAATTTATGCATATTATTAAGTGATCCAGTGTTAATAAAGAAGCTGGATTTTAAATTCTTTTTAAAAAAATTAAATTGCTGTTCCTAGTTTTTGAATTATATTACGATTTTTATTATTATCAACATGATTAATATCAGTGTTTTCATTACTATCCTACTGCAAAGGTAGCAATAAGAACAACAGTAACAACTAATAAATGAAACATTGTTACTGCACTATTTATCTGTTTTAGTATGGATGTCATTTATGCTCACATGGGAGATGGCACTAATTTCGTTATTGTCCACATTCCTGCTAAGACCATCACGAAATATACCGCTGTTTGATAAATATCATCGACCTCATGCGAATGCGAATATTTATATCACAAATAATGACTGTAGTAATAACATCCCATCTGGATCAATTTCTGTATCGCAGACGACATTATCACTTAATGATAACGTTGATAATAATAATGATGACAATAAGCACATCCCTAGTACCGATATAAATGACAATCACAATGCTTTAACAAAAGGTGTTATGGCTCAACAGCGATTCGTGCAGCATTCACCAACAGTAGTGATCGAATCAACGAAATAATCCATCTATGATTCCCAGCATGATCAGTATAAACTTTGATGTGATTCATCTAAAGTCGATCCACCAATCACATTCTCCAATGACATGTTTTTGCAATAATATCGTCATTGTCGCAGTCACAATTATTATCAACACCATTTCTGTTACTATTCATTTTCGAGTGTTTATTATTCGCTTTTTGCTGACGATTTCCACTCAGAACGATCGTATCGATTGTTGTGTCAGATCTCGACTGCATTCCATCGCCCGATTCACAATTACCGTTCTTATCATCATTCTCATTCGGTGTTGAACTGATTACTTGAGGCGGTGATAATCCTTCATTATTCTTTCGACAATCATCATTTGTGTTTGTTCCTTGTTGTTGTTGTTGCTTATCACTATTGTTACGTTCCTCACATATCGTTGGCAAATCACCTGTCTTTAAATTACAAGAATAAAGTGATAAACTAATAAAATAACAGAGAATTCAGCTTATTCGTGACTAGGTGATTAGGAAGATTGAAATATAGTGTAATAATACTGATGTTGTCAGCAGTAAAAAGCCTAATAATGACAGTGATAACGATAGTAATCATATTATTGATAAAGATAGCAATGGTACTAATAATATTGATAATGATAATAATAACGATAACAATAAGAAGAACAACAATAATCCTCACTGAAGCTGGGGTCACCCGTCCGCGGAATGAAAGCCGAAGTTTTTGTGACAGGTGCGGAGATGTTTTATGCGATGGCAATGGTCCTATCGGTATTTCACAACGACCACTAGCCGGAGACGAGTGCATTGTTCTCAATTAAATGAACAGATATTATAGGTTGATGAATAAATAAATTGATGAATAAATAACGTTCACATTTACGTTCGAATAAAGTATAATGTATTTACTCATGTTGCGCTATTGCCGGTGAAGATTGTTTGGTATCAGCAGCGTTAAACGACGCTAGTGAAGAGGTTGTGGAACCTGGAGTTAGTATTATAAAAATAAATAAGTTTTATTATCACTAATCATATCATGATGAGCGTCGCTGTATTATGCAGTAACAGTATCATGCAATGTTATACACGCTATCAAATGTCTCAGGTGACAGAGGCTGGTATTATTTCCTTTCGAAAACGCTTTTTGGCCCTCATGTTTCACACAGGTCATTTCGAGCGCATAAAGGAATTCCTTTGTGATGCACAGCCTGCTGAATGATATATGTTGTCGAGCAAATTTCAAAATTTGATGATAGCGATAACTCAAATTTGTATAACTAGCAAAAGCAATGAGACAATCATTTGCTAACTCTTCCTCGATGATAAGCCCTGCTGGATACGTTTGAAGAAATTTATATCGCTGAACACTGAACTTCGTCTCCTTGACGATGCCTGATCATCGGCATCACTATTGCAGCAAAAAGAAACAATTAGAAATGATAGCATTCGAAAAATATCACTTTCAGCTTCAGTAAAATAGTATTTTATTATTTCGATCATATCAACATCACTAAGTCACTTCTGATTAGCGGACTGAATGGCGAAACTTTTATCTGCAGCTGATTAATGATGCATCGTCAAACAACTGAACCCAAATGCCTCGAAAAAGATCAAACAATAGCGATGTTAGCAATCATAGCAATAATAACAACGATAATAATTAACCTTCCATGAACTGCAACAGTTTCAACACCGCCATCGACAGTCAATAAGTCGCCATTCGCCAATGCTATTGTCGGACGTCGTTGACGTATCATAACTCCATCATTTTTAGTCGCTCTTAGAAGCAAAAAAATAAACATCAGTAATCAAAACGATAATGATGACTAATTATAACTCTAATTAGAAATGATAATTTATAACAATAATAATAATACTGATAATAAAACCAATAACAATATTATTAGCAACAACAATAATAATAGCAATAACAATAATAATAACGGCGACGTACTAGCTGAAGGTCGGGCAGATCAAGTGAATAATAGCACTAATAATGAGAATAATAATAATTTCCACTAACAGTTCAGCACAAGAGCTGATGTTGGGGTTAACGACTCGCTGAGCGGATTCAGTCGTATAAAATGGTTCAGCCGTAGAATCACCCCAGAAAATGTCCTTCTCCAATTGAGGCTTCATACCGTAGGCATCATCCACGATCAGCAAACCAACCTTGAAATAATGCAATCACTTTTTAAATCCTTTCAGGATAGATGCTAAGCATTCATTTCTTAAATCAATCACTGCCTCAGAAACAAGCGAGCATGAGTTTAATGAAAAAAACTAATCAGTTGAATGAGATTTCGACAGAATTGGAACCTGAAGATTTCGATCGAGTATATAGTTAACTTCAAAGTCGTCATCGTCTTCACCGAGTGGATTCAGCAAGGCTTCGGCCACTTTAAGCCATCCAAAATAGCAAAAAAATTGTAAGATCGTCATGACTGGCACGTAAATGTCCATCTAAATCAAGCAGAGATAGCAAGAATAAAGATGCTTGCCAATACCAATATTAATAATGATCCAAATTACTTCTGCACAATTGTTTGCTACTGTTCTGTTCGAATGCACATTGATGTGCATGAATGAAATTTCAATTGCAAACACCTACATGGTTCATCTTTTCAGTGAACGATCACAACGCCAGATTCATTAGTCATTCGCTGCTCTCTCATCACCTTCCGAAGATTTTGAAGTAAATTCAACAAGAACCAACCGTTTTAGCTGCCGGCAAGTCACGTTCAGATATGATAAATTGTCGTCCCAAAAGCGCAATCAAGAAATAACTTCGAACAGCTAAAGTTACCACTTGCGTGTAAACCAGCGGTACATTCACCCAATCATACAATGTTAAACTGACCACTGTGGCACGATAAGTTTTAACTGTCTATAATTTTAGTTGATTTATTCATTATTGAATTAAGAGTTTTTTGTTGACAAATGAATAATTTTGGTTGAAAAGCAATTAAGTGAATAGACCAGCCATTCAGCAATTTTTAATTGAACTGTCTGAGAGGGATGAAGAAAGTTTGTCAGGACCGAAACCTAACCAAAATCAAAATCACCTATCTGTATATGAGAGATCAGAGGTCTATAGGATGGAACCACTGATCTATCCTAATTTCACCTCTATGAGAACCATCCTA